TATATATATATATATATATATATATATATATGTATATATATATCTGTGTCAGTGTAAATTACTTGTACCTGATGATGACAAAGCCTTGTCGAAACATTGTACATTTGCTGTTATGTTAAACTTATATTAAAGTGTTTCTTCATTACCCATTCAAGCTGTCTCCAACCATTATAAAACTTATCAGGTTATATAAGTAAAAATTAATTTTTTCATCATCATTCCTCAAGCAATGCACATCCAGTTAGATGTACATGATGTAATCTGATCCATTTGTTTACTCTGCTATACCAACTGGTGATTTGCTGCTAATGGCATAGATATGGTTTAAAGAGCAATAAAACAATAAAATTAAAGTTGCTGTGAAATGTTAAGAGGTCTAATTCTCTAAAAATAAATAATTGTAATTGTCTGACAATCTGCAGTCATTCTAGTGAGAAAAAGTATTTCATTTATAAAAAATTTTGTGACAGATGATTTCATCACAGTTAGTGTTAGGGTAGAGAAAATATGAGATAATATATAAAGTTTTACCAATATAAACTTTTGGTAGTCATTTAGAATGTTCTAAAAGTTATGGAAATGAAATATGAAAATAAGTATTTTATTCTTAACATGAAAATCAACTTGTACTCGGATTAGTCAAAGTCTGAATCAGACTGATTAAGTAGATTCCCAGACAGATCTTTAGTATAAATACTTTCTCACAAATTCTGATTTTTTGTGTACAACATATTTTTAATGTTTATTAAAAGATTCCCAAATGTCATGAGGATACACTAAGTAAATTCAGAATTATGGTAAACGTTGCTATGTATAGCTTCATAGAAATGAGGGTTGGTGTAATGCACATAGGGTTGAAAAAATTACAAGTAATATTTTAATATGTGGAGATGTTTTATAAATTAGAGATGATACATCAAGGCTGACCTTATGATTCAGATCAGACTTCTGGTTACATAACTAGCTGTTAAGTTCTGATAATTATAAACAAATAAAATGTAGCTTACATGTGCATGAATAATTTAAGAGCCATAAATGTATTAGAATTTAGTTAGTGTTGCAGCATAAAAATTGTCCCTTCCTCTCCATGTGACAACTGGAAAAACCAGTGATACACTGAGGTGATAGCAACACTTGTCACATGTGATGATTATGATAACCTGGATTGGAACTGGCTGTAGAAGGTCGACACTTAGGACCAACATTTTCTGATTCCACAATAAACCCTCAGTTCAGTACAATATAAAAGTAAGCAGGAAACATAACAGTAGTGAACAAAACTGCTATCTGCACAATAGCAATACACATCCGATTACATGTAATGCAAAACTTTAGCATGTATATACCAGTAACCAAAACTTAATTATATAAATATAAATAAAGAGAAACTTCAATTAAAATACTGATACTGCATAGCAGACTAGCAGACTAGACTATACTCGTAGCATTAGACACAGGATAAACAAGAAATATAATTAAGTCCTTTACAGAATTAAATACAGAAGTAAATATTTATGTTATTGTTCATGGAAAGCTGATGATTACTGTCAATGATGGAGAATAGGCCCTTCTGGACAGCTGTTCACATTGACATCCTACTAATGATGTCTTTTGCTCTAGCCATGCTTTCTATTGTTAGGTCCAAGCAAAATTTTGTGAATATTATGGTGTCTCCTAATGGTGAACCCCCTTTTGTAGAAACAATACCTAACCCTCCTCCTAGAAGGCAGTCTGAGTGACAATGATGATGTCATCAGACCACTACTTTAAAGTTGAATACTGTGATGAAGATGAAGCTCGAAAAGCCAGTATGTTGATAAATGATTGGGTTGTTCTATTATAATATTAGTCTTTGTAGTCTTCCTTTATTTTGTTTTGTTGTCTTTTTTTCAGCTAAGCAGGAGGTCTTTGCAGGACTATTCAGAAGTTTCTCTACAGTCATCCCACTAGGTAGCACTAAAAGTTGTCATTCAGAATGCTTTAACCCATGGTCTAATTGGAGGTGGGTCCAAAATTCATTTTCGTGATGCTAAAGTTCCAGCATTTCATTTTTGATACTTTTTTTTGTGTTGACAGCCATACTGCTGATGTCAGATGCTGGCTACATCAAGTTTTAAAGGTGGGTTTCTACTTGGTTAAAAGTGCCTCATTACCAAAGAAAGACAAAGACTGTTTATGATAAATGAAATGGTCAATTTGAATAGAACCTGACCTTTAATAAAGCAGAAACAGGGGAGTCAGCACTGGCCTAACTAACATGTAATACTTCAAGAGTTGTGGTTTCTGCATAGAGTTAAGATAGAAATATTTTGACACAGATGTGACTTGGAATATCTAGGGTTGCCAAGGTTAGGTTGTTTACAAAGTTCACATATATGAAATTGTACCTACATTATACCACTGTATTAAATGAACTTAGTATCAAATTACTAGTTTTGTCCACGAACTTGTGGTATATTCAGGTGAAGTGAATATATGTTTGAGCTTAACTGGAAAGGTCAACTAAAAAACAGGAGATTGTCATGTTTTATATGTATGCACTGGATTCTTTACAGTAGATGTATGTGACTTATTAGCAGTAAATTTCAACAATAAACAAACAGCACACAGTCCACTTGTTTTAAAATAATACAGGGTGTCCACATTGAAATGAAATAACTTTGAAGTTATAACTTTTTATTGAATAAATCTGAAAATGTTGAAACTTGCACAATTACCAAACCATATATCTAAGTTTCTGTGCTTAAAGTTCTTTTTGTGTTTCAGATTGAATTATGATGACCCCACAAGAAAAGGCAAAATAAGTGTTGTGGATGGCCAACTTAAAGACACCTAGCCTGGTGCAATGACAATTCCATACAACATTTGGCAAGGAACCACTGACCCAAAGAGACCTGTATAACACTACCACTAACTAGAAATAGTTGGTAGTTGTTCCTTATTTACTTTCAAAAGAATCTTGAATCTCATGAATGTCTTTATTTACAACTCCTGAGCTATACTTTATTATGAACATTAGATTTTAACTTACTTCTTTTCCTAGTCCATATGAAAGAGAAACCTTTAACATAGGTAGATCATCAAAAAGTCGTAGAACAGTTCTGCATTGGCTTAGTTCAGAACTAACTATTTTCAGTTTTCTAGAAATATTTCCTTGTGTTATTCCACTTAGATATAAAGCTGCATAAGACACCGTGCGAATCACTCTGTCTCGACCACTGTGGTTTTTCAAAATGCTCTCTATAGCCTCCATGATTTACTTTAAATTATTATAGAAGCTATTAGGAAAAAGAAACAAATATTAATTTATTATAAGGTGAGCAAAAAGAAAAAAGTGAAAAAAGAAAAACTTGTACTTAATGAGAGGTAAATTTTCTAGGTCTTGTGTACTTCTAACAAATTTGAATTATACTTTATCAATATCAACAAACTGCTATCTATAACATTCACATTTTAGTGTTTACACTAATTAAAACAACAATTGCATCAAAACTAATCATGTATGTTTATCTTAATTACCAGAAAAAAACACATACACTAAAATAGTTCCATTATGTGCTAAAAACACTTGACACCTAATAACAATTATGATGACTTTTGTTCTTAGTTCTACTTCAAAACAAAAAATATACCCCCTAAGAAGTACTTATTTTGAAATGTGCAAACACAATTACACATACATCAGCAATAACCATGTAAACATTTAATGTGGCCTATACCAATTCTAAGAACTTATGAGTGAAAATAAAGAAGAACACCAACCACACTATATCTGCTGTATCCAGTGCTGATGAGGCCTTTCACCTAATACCAGGCTGGTTGGAATATGACAAGCACAGTAGTGGTTGAGATTACATAAATATTTTTATTACATGAACAACTGTTATAGTGTGAACAGTAAACATGTATCAACAATAGTCATTCAAAATAGAGTTATTCTCATATGCACAAACACACAATTACACATACATTACCAACAAACATGTAAAAATGTATTACAACAGAATACAAATGCACCAGCAATAACCATAAGGAATGCTTATTCCAATAATTCCAATAAAACCATGTAAAAAACATATTGTGACATACACCAAAACACAACAAATAAATGTGCCAACTTGCAAAATACACTCTATAATCATAGCTACCCACATAAATATCTGTATGATTAAATAACAAAACAATTAAGTATCCCACTGAAACACACACAGAGAAAATCCTGATACAATAACTTTTGGTACTACAAATTTTTTAGTTGCTAGTAAGTGACAGCAAATTTTAAAAACTTTTTAGCATTTTTCTACTAACTTTCAACCTTAACATTTCATTCATTCTATTTTTGTTCAATAAACAAAATTCAGTGACACATTCCAAGAAAGTTTACAAAAAAGAGTTTTCATCACATTTTTAGCCCAAAACACCACAGGGTCCTAATCACAAGGCTAATTTTCTTTCTTTCTGTTCACCTGTTGTGCTTGCATTGTTGTTTATTATATACTCTTCATATGTCCTTGTGTGTGTTTCTGTTTAACAGCACATTCTCTTTGGGTTGCTTTTCTCTGAAGAAGGCTTAAAACCAAAAGTTTTGTAATTGGTTTTCTTTTTTTTTCCATGTTCACTGTTGTAGGTATTTTATGCATCAATTTTGTATTAGTTTCACGAATATCATTTAGGAACTTTGAATCTTCTATGGGTGTAACATAGAATATGCAACTTAAGATTTTAAATTTGAATGATCAATGCTGCAATACTTGGGATACTGTACCAGAATGAAAATACTATTAGTTCCACACTCTAGTACAACTGTATGTCTAACCAGGGATACTGTATCAGACTGAAAATACTGTTAGTTCCACACTCTAGTACAACTGTGTATCTAACCAGGGATACTGTATCAGACTGAAAATACTGTTAGTTCCACACTCTAGTACAACTGTGTATCTAACCAGGGATACTGTATCAGACTGAAAATACTGTTAGTTCTACACTATCGTACAACTGTATGTCTAACCAGGGATATTGTATCAGACTGAAAATACTGTTAGTTCTACACTATCCGTACAACTGTATATCTAACCAGGGATACTGTATCAGACTGAAAATACTGCTAGTTCCACACTCTAGTACAACTGTATATCTAACATCTGATGGATAAGTTCTCTGCAGCAGATTGAATATACAGAGCATACTTGTTCTCTGGGAACTATGGTAATTTGGTGGTGACTTCATCATTTCAAAAGCTACAATAAATACAACACCCAACTGTAGCTAAATTGATAATATAACAATCTGTTTCAAACTTCATATTGTAATACAAAAGTTGTATCTAATGAGTAAACTTTTGAGGTCAGTCATCAAACAATCCATAACAGGTTTCCTAATGTATCATGTGTCTAAGCCAGCATAAGTTTATAGAAATATTAATTTCTACATTTCTAAAAGTACATTTGTATCCAATGTCTAATTTTGTGTCAACCACTATTGTTCCATCATCATAACTCCAACAAGTTCAAAGATTTTAAGCTATTTCTAAATTTTTAACATTTATTCTATGTTTAAAATTCACAAGTTTACTGTAGTAATGTGTTATTTATCTCTATAATTTAAAAATGTGCTATAAATTGTAAAATACCAAAGTTTGGATTTCAGAACATTAAACTATCCTTAGCATCATACTGATGTGTTAAGTTCATGTTATAATGTGTAGAGTTTTATTTTCAAGTTTTGTTTTCATGAATAAGATTGTTCAAATGGTTTATGATATGTTATTTATATATTTTAATTTCTACTTCCAACTTTATTTATTTTTATATTACAAACATTTTTCTAGTTAAATACTACATTAACTGCGAGATTACCCAAGTGATGAAACAATGATTTATAAGAAAAGTGTAATTAATTAATTAAACAGTATACTTACTACCAGGTGGATTTTTAGTTTTAAGTAGGTAACTTGCTCTGATTGAAAGTTAATAATGATTTTAATATTAAACAATTGAAGATGTTTTAAAATTAGCCTGATTGTCGGTTGTTTTGTTGAATTTTGCATAAAGCTATTAATAAAAGGCTATCTGCACTAGCCATCCCTAATTTTGAAGAGATTTATTAGAGAGAAAGTAGAAAATCGTCATCCCCCCATCCCACTCTTTACCAACGAATAGTGAGATTGACTATACATTATAACGCTCCACGACCGAATGGGCGAGCATATTCGGCGACACGTTTCTATCCCGCAATCCGCAGATTGAGGGTCAGATGTCTTAACCACTTGGCATATTAAATTACTTTTCACTTATAACTCTTGAAATACGTACAATTGAAAAGTTCATGGTTAGGCCTACCAGAAATTCTACAGTTATTTATTTTGATTAAAATATATATACAGTTAATACATCGTTATTTTACAATTTACTCTTACTCTCCGTTGTCTAATGGAAAATTTCTATTCTAACCCTCGTTGGCTTATAATCAAATTGATCTTTATAAAATATAATGCTTTGCCTTTTTTTATAAATATTTTGCTTTTTTCAAATTAAAAATAATCACACTGACTTAAGCATTCAAACTGTATACACAAGCTTACATAATATTACAATGTTAACGAAAATAATATATTAATTATTCCCCATTGGTTACCAATATCATTGCCCGTGGTCGTGCCTGTTTACAATGTCAACGGAAGTCAGCTGACTTATCAACACAGCACCATCATTGAAAACTGAAAATAATTAAAAGCAATTTTATAATTCATTAGCAATACAGTACTGTTAATTAAAACACGAAACAAATAACAATGTTTCGACATTCTTAGATTATTGTTATGACAGCGGAAGTCACGCGACACCTGGAAGCATGCGCGCTGGAGTTTCTCGAAGGATCATGAATTTTCCTGGCAACTCCAGTTTGTTGCAGCCGCCCTCTTTTTTAGTATATAAGCCCGGCAAATAAAGCCGGCGAAAAATGATAGAATTGCATAGATCGAAGAGATATGCAGATAGACTGAAGAGATGGATAATTGTGTCAAGCGAACAGTAG